CTCTCCAGCGGCGCTAGGGCCTGCTGCGGGCAGATTTTATTTTTTCTTGTTTTTGCTCGTTTTTTCGAGCCCTATATATTGGGACGAACTCCCAGACTTGTAGAACATTCCACCAACTCGTGTTTTCCATATTTTCCACCCTAGAACACATAATTGATCTTGGTTTTCACCTTGATTTATTCACCGCTTTCGGATCAAGCTTGTAACTCAGATTCAAATTGAATTGCTCTATTAATCGTAAGTCTTTCTTTTCATTTGATTGATGAAAATAATTGCTTGGGTTTAGATGTTTAATTGTGTGGTATGTAATATACGTAGCTAATTCTGATTGTTAGGGATAGAGAGTAATTGTTCTTGTGTTCGTATTTGTTGGGCTTTAATTTGTTCGTTCTTGTACTAGTTGATTTAATTAGAAATTGATGAATTCTTGATTGATTGTTTGATTTAATTGAAGTGTGAAAATTCGATCTTGCAATTGGAAACAGTTGGATATTGTTCTTTCGAGTTAGGGTTTTGTTTATTCTAAACAATTAGTCGATTAACCCTCTTCTAAATTAATTAGCGACCTTTAGAATCGAAAGGGGAGAAGTCGTTAACCTAAGCTTGCATAAGATAGATGGTTTTGTAATTGAATAGTCTATGGGTTTTTGGATTGAAATACTTGCTCATCGATGTCCCTTCCCTTGTTACGAAAGTTATTAAGATTGTATATTTGTGTATTTACTATATTAGCCTTAGGTTCTCTTTAGGTAACAGTAGCTCTAATTTTTGTGTATATATTCATGGCTAATAGAGAGTTGTCTCATCCGATTGAGATGATCTTTCCCACAAATTACATCTTGTCTCTTTCGTATCATGGTATCAGAGCCTAATTTTCTTCTTTTTCGGATCGCAAGTTTTTCCATACAAATCTGATTGCCTCCAGCCTCTGTTGCTGCTCGTGCTCAGTCTGGACTAATTGTGTCTCGGTCATCTTCCACGGCCAGTGCTTCACTTCTGATTATATCAATCCCCAAATTTATTTTTAAAAAAAGGATGCTGAATATACTTTCATAATTCCATCCAGTTTGGATTTTGTCCGTAATTGTTCAAAGCTACTATTTGATTTCGTGATTATTTGCGTGATTATTTGGTTGATTATTTGAAATTGATATTTGTTCAAGGACGCTGTTTCAACATCTGATTATTTGCATTTGATATTTGTGCTAGTTCGCATTATTATTTTAAATAAAAATTATGGTTGCATCTTCAACATCTGATTTCAGCACCAGTGGTAGCCGCGATTGTAATTCTGGTGATGGCCACCGTGGTGGTGCTCGTGCGAATGCAGCGTTCTCCAGTAATTCTTTTGTTGTCGGTTCTGTTGGTTCTTTCACTGCTAGTAGAGCTTTGAGTGATTCTGATCATCTTGCACTTGGAGGTTTAACCAATGAACAATGGTCTCACTTTGTGTTTTTAGTTAATTCAGCTAAACAAAATAATCCTTTGTCTACTACGCGTGGTTTATTTGATTGGATGTACGATAGTGGTGCAACTCATTATATGACAGGGTTCTTGGAGTTTATCTCTGATGTTCGGGATATTCCCGCCCGTCCTGTTCAATTTCCTAATTGTTTCTTGACTATGGCTAGCAAGGCTGAGACTGTTCATTTGGGATCCCATATCACACTTTATGATGTTTTATACGTACTCATCCTTCGGTGTAGCTTGATATCAATATATGAATTGCTGGATCGTTCTGACTGCACCGCTCAGTCAGTAACAAATTTTGTGTTATTCAAGACCGCACTTAGCAAAAGGTGATTGGCGTAGGTGAGCAGTTGGGGGGGTCTTTACTTCTTTCGAGGGATAGTTTCTACGGCAGTTTTTTGTGTTTGGAAGGTTTCTGTCGATGTGTGGCATCAACGTTTGGGTCATCCTCTGCTCAATTATTGTCCTAGGTTCTTGTTATTGATTCTAGTTCTCGTAATTTTCGTGTCCCAGGTCATCCCTCTGCTCAAGTATTGTCCTAGGTCATCCCTCTGTTCGGAAGGTTTCTGTCGATGTATATCTTGTGATGCTTGTTTTCGTGCTAAACAACATCGTCGTAGTTTTCCTCTCAGTCAGACTGTTAGTCATTAGATTTTTCATTTGATTCATTGTGATTTATGGGGTCTGTATCGTGTTCCGTCCTTCAGTGGTGCACGATATTTTTTTACTATTGTAGATGATTGTTCTCGTGGAACATAGGTTTATTTGTTGAATGATAAGACGGAGGTTGCTTCCACATTGCTGAATTTTTTCTATGATTAAGAGACAATTTGATAAATTGGTGCGTGTTGTTCGTAGTGATAATGGAAGTGAGTTCATGTGTTTGGCCTCTTATTTTCGTCGTCAAGGGATTGTGCATGAGACTTCTTGTGTAGACACTCCTCAGCAGAATGGGCGTGTTGAACGCAAACATCAGCATATTCTTAATGTATCTCGTGCTTTGCATTTTCAGGCTTATATGCGTCTTCTTTTTTGGGGTCATTATGTTTTGACTGCGGTCTATTTGATAAATCAGACTCCTTCCTTGGTTTTACATGGTGAAACCTCATATGAGATTCTTTATGGTTCGGCTCCTTCTTTGTCTCATTTGCGGGTTTTTGGTTGCCTTTGTTACGCTCACAAGATCGTAATGGTGACAAGTTTACTGCCCGGAGTCGTCGTTGTCTATTTGTTGGTTATCCTTTTGGCAAAAAGGGGTAGAGTTTGTATGATTTGGATCATCAGATTTCCTTTCTCTCGTGATGTGGAGTTTCTTGAGGCTGAATTCCCATACCACTCAGACTCGTCTGAGCCAGATTTTTTCCACCACCTCTTGTTGTGCCTGTTTCTTCTGAGCCGAATGATGATTAGGATCTTCTGGTTGTCTCTTTACCTCATGTTTCTCCTAATACTGGGTCTTCTGCTACTGATATGGACACGTCTGACGATAGGGGGATTCAGTTACCACTACCCCTCTCACTCTCCCAGTGAAGCCCTTGGTTCATGGTCATCGGACTAAAGTTCCTTGCACTCGGCTGAAGGACTTTGTGGTTGACACTGTCCGGCCTTCGAATGAACCCCCCACTGCTTCTCCCCAGTTGTCTTCATCCTCTAGTACACCTTATCCCATAGCACATTATGTTTCTTATGAGATTCATTCTCTCCAGATCATCGAGCTTTTTTGGCTGATGTCGCCTCTACTGCTGAGCCTCGCACTTTTACTAAAGTCGTGACTGATCCTCGATAGCGAGCCACTATGCAAGATGAGATTCACGCCTTAGATAATAATGGCACATGGGATGTAGTTTCTCTTGCATCTGGGAAACGTGCGATTAGGTGCAAGTGGGTCTTTAAGATCAAGCATAAGTCTGATGGTTTCGTTGAGCGCTATAATGTGCGTTTGGTGATTTTGGGCAATAATCAGGTAGAAGGTCTTGACTATCACGAGACATTTGCTCATGTCGCCTAAATGGTTACAGTTCGGTTATTCTTGGTTGTGGCTGCTGCTAAGCATTGGGAAGTTCACCAGATGGATGTTCACAATGCTTTTATTCATGGTGATTTGGCTGAGGAGGTTTACATGAAGTTCCCTCCTGGTTGTCGTTCTGGCGTTGATGGGCAGGTTTGCCGTCTTCGTCGTTCCCTCTATGGCTTGAAATAGGCCCCCCGCTGCTGGTTTGCCAAGTTGACTATGGCTTTGAAGCAATATGCTTTTTGTCAGCCCTATCACAATTATTCTCTTTTTACACTACATCGTGGTTCTGTCCATCTGCAGGTTCTGGTCTATGTTGATGATCTGATTGTTTCCGGGAATGATACCACATCCATTGCGGCCTTCAAAAGTTACTTGAGTCGTTGTTTTCACATGAATGATCTTGGATTGCTTAAGTATTTTTTGGGTATCGAGGTTGCCCGGAATTCTTCTGCCTTTTTTATCTGCCAACGAAAGTATGCTCTTGACATCATAGTTGAGGTCGGACTGCTAGGGAGCAAGCCAGCTGATTTTCCATTAGAACAGAATCATCATCTTCCTCTTGCTGAGGATGACCTATTGTCTGATCCCAAGCGATAACGTCGTTTGGCCGGACGCCTTATCTATCTGGTAGTGACTCGACCTGAGCTATCTTACTCGGTGCATATGCTCTCTCAATTTATGCATCAACCACATCAAGCTCACTGGAACTCTACTCTGCGTGTGGTTCGATATTTGAAAGGCTCTCCTGGTCAGGGGATTCATCTTCGTATTGACTGCGATCTTCAACTCTATGCCTAGTGTGATTCGGATTGGGTGTCTTGCTCTCTCACTCGGCGCTCTCTTTCGGGTTGGTTTAATCAGTTGGCCAGTCTCTTGTTTCTTGGCGAACCAAGAAACAACCTATTGTCACGCGCTCTTCTGCTGAGGCTGAATATCGGGAGATGGCTACTGCATTGTGCGAGTTGAAGTGGTTACGGGGACTATTATCTACTACAGTCAGTCCGCACTGCATATTGCGGCGAATCCAGTTTTTCACGATCGGACTAAGCACATTGAGGTGGATTGTCACTTTGTTCGAGATGTTGTTCTTCAGGGTCTCATTTCTACTACTCATGTTCCTTCTGGGGAACAGCTCACTAACATCTTCACTAAGGCGCTTGGGAAGTGTGAATTTGATTTCTTTCTTGGCAAGTTGGGTATTCGGAATCCGCATGCTCCTACTTGAGGGGGGAGGGGGTGTTATTGTGTATATTTGTGTATTTACTATATTAGCCTTAGGTTCTCTTTAAGTAATGATAGCCTAATTTTTGTGTATATATTCATGGTTAATAGAGAGTTGTATCATCCGATTGAGATGATCTTCCCCACAAATTACATCTTGTCTCTTTCGTATCACATAATTCTATATTTCATAGTTAATAATACCAATTCATCTTGATTAGAATGTTTAGGATTTATTTGCCTTTTGTGTGTGCTCGACACAAATTTTAGATTCCGAATTGCCTTCTTTGAGAAATCGACCCGGGGAATGAATCTTTCAATTTTATACTCAGTAAAAATATAATTTGCTACAGCAGGCATCGGCGATATACGGGCGAGCAGGATCATACTTGCTTGTATTATTGAACTGAAATGTAAAATTGCTTCCGCTTTTGTTATTATTGTTATCTTTTGCCAGACTTGTTAAAAACGTTGGGATTTGAATATTGATTATGAGATTTGGATATTATGCATGTTTTAATTATGAATTGAATTTGAGAATATTGGTAATGTTTGAATTTATCACTGAGCATGTTTTATTTGATTGGCATGAAGTGTGGATTTGGGATGCTTTATTCTCAGGGCTTAAGTTGGAACTTAAGCTGTGAATTGAGATAAGTTGAGTAATGCCCGTTATATAAATTTTGAAATGTTTTGTGAAAATTTAACTCTGATGATTGGAAAAATTCGGCATTTTCCTTATAAAAATAACGGGGTGTAACATAAAGTCTTATGTTGTATTCCTTAACCTCAATTGGGCATCGTGTGGGCGACGATCTCCCGAACTCATGTGGCTGATTCTCCCTTCTTTTTAACTGCTCACGTCCGCGGGCCATCTGTGTATTTATTAAGGTGGCGTGGTTATGATTTCTCAAGCAAGAGAATGAGACCCCCACATGGTTTACTTATAGGCTAGAGCTGGGACGTTAAGGAAGTTAGGATTTGGTATCCCAAGGGGCTAAGAAAAATACTTGAGTTTCTACCCTATTTCTTGGGACATTAATAATAAATCACTCTAGTAAAATTTATTTATTGCACTACATTTACCTCACCCAATTAATGATTTTTCTCATCTTTCCTCAATTTACCTCCCGATGTTTAAGATTTAACGCTCGTTAGTTAATTTAAATACTGACATTTTAATTTATTAACTTTTTTTTTTTTGAAACTAGTACCACTCAATATTACTATTTATATCAGAATTTAATCCACTTGTAGGGTTTAGTATAATAATCTATTTGAGCTCATTTCGGGGACGTTATCACTAGGGATGGCAATGGGCCCCCGAAACCCGAAACCCGATGGGTAAAAACTCCATTAGGAGCCGGGTATGGCTATAATTTGGCCCCATGGATCTGTTAATGGGGGAAAAAGTCCCCCCATCGGGTCTAGCGGGGATGGGTCCGTTCCCCCTCCCCCCATACCCGTTAACCCATGGGTATAATGTACCCGATATAATTTGGCCCAATATATGTTTTGGCCCAGCCGAAAAGACTCAGCAGGCAACAACACTACTAATCCCTAGATATATAACTAATAAGAGGCAATCTCAAGAAAACTTAATTAAATATACAATATAATAACTACTTGTATATTATTTTGTTTATCCCTAGTTATTAAATATACAAGAAAACTTAATTCATACTTGTGTATGAATTATTTTCAATATTTAAAACACTTTCCTTATTTTGTTTATCCCTAGTTATTGCACTACTTGTGTATGAATTATATTTTCACTACTTAAGTTATTATGTATACACTACTAATCCCTAGATATATTTTTTCAATATAATTTGGCCCAATATATGTTTTTTGCTTCTTATGAATTAATTTAGATCGTTCGAGTTAGTTATTATATTCATCGGGTCTGTGTCACCCGATGGGTACCCGTCACCCACACGGGTGCCGGGTCTGGGGGAAATTTGGACCCGCGACGGGTGATGGGGGCGGGTGACGGGGGTATTTTCCCTAATGGGGACGGGTGACGGGGGGGTCCCCCCAGCGGGTTTGTCACCCATTGCCATCCCTAGTTATCACCTTGCTTACCAGGATACAATGACTGAATATAATCAACCGCGTGCCATGTAAATAATAATATTCTCAACTCAGTAGTATTGATTTAGTGGAATAAGTCTCACCATTTGATAATTAAAAGAAATATATATTAAATTCAATTATTCATTATTATCAGACAGCGTACGAGTATGGGAGATATCACAAGGTCAAGTTTATTTACAAGGTCAGTATAAAATAAACTTGTCATCCGGGGTCCAATTCAGTACACAAAGTGCATAGTATAATTCATTAGCTAACATAAACTAACTCAAATTATACTATAATCATATTTGTATAATTCATTAGTTAATATAAACTAACTCAAATTATACGATAATCATATTGATCTGTTTGTCTATTGCTATCTCGTTTATGAACCTTATTTATATTATACAAACAATCCATAATTTAATCTTATGTGCTAGAAAAAGTCACGCTATATTATCTTCAATGTCAATATCATGAGTCGGGGGTAAAAATAGCTCTTAGCATGATTATTGTGCTTATAAATATTCTATATATATATATATATATATATATATATATTTAATGGCCATTGCCATATTAAAAATATAAATACTAACATTTTTTACTAATTTCGAGTCCATTTATAATTGAAATTTTGTTTAAATCTAATTTAAAATTTTAGTATACCAACCAACAATCAATTCGTTCTTATTTTCATTGTTAGCATTATGTGTGTTGAGATTATTAGCATTATGTGTGTTGAGATTATGTGAATCTAAGTTATCGCATCGTGATGTATTCTGATGACTAAATTTAATACAATTTGATGTTATGATCCCAAATATAAAGAGAATAAATAAAGAAAAGATGAAAATGATAACAACAAATTATATGATTCTCAATATAAAGAGAATAAATAAAGACCACTGGTTTCCATCTCTCTGGAGACAGCCTGTGTTGAGAGCAAAGCCAACTAAAAGATTATTGCAATAATATCATCTCACTATCTTTGTTGTATTATATATTATATTACTAATATTTCCAACCGGGCTATAGCTTTTTATAAGGTGTGGACACCTGTCATAAACTTGAAAGACGAAGAAAATAAAAATAAAAGACAAAAAACCAAGAAGAAAGTGTAAGCCAATTATGTAGTTTTAAGACAAAGTTGACCTTTGCAAATTGAAATCCATCTCAATGACT